TTTGTACAGAATAGAAAAACACTTTGCTAAGATTTGTACTGATAACAAACTTGAACTGATTTTTCTGAATCAATCCCTTGTGTGCTCAAAGCACAACATATACTTTGTAATAGAAATAGACAGAGCTTTGTTCTCAAAAAACACATTTCAGTGGAAAGGTATTGGGGAACTGAGCAACTACTTTAGCAGGTGAAGGAATAACAGGGCCTAGTGTCTGGACAGGAGAAACAGCTGGCTAGGAGGCTGATGGCAATAGGGATGTAGTATGGAGTGTGTAGTAATGGGAACAGTTTGTCTCAATAGAGAAGGTATCAGGAAGGGATGGAATGAAGGGAAAGACTGGAAGAAGTGGAGTTGGCAAGCTACGTACAGCATCCTTATCAAGGGTGGAGGGAGGCTGTAACTTGCGGGGAGAGATCAAAACTTTGAAAGAAGGCTAGCTCACATCTGCCCAAGACAGTGGTGTACAGCACAGAATAATACATGCCAGCTGGTGTGCTACATGCATGACCTGCAATAAAGGAAGGTATAATGATGTTTGCTGCTCTCCTCAGCTCTGATGCTTATTTCTCAGGAGCAAAAAGCTGGCTGGCAATGGGGACAGTGTACTGTGGGGTCTCTGGCTTTCTGAGAAGTGAAGAGCTCTTGGCTGTCTGGCACACTCTCTTGGAAGGAGTCACAAGTCCTGTTCTCCACATTCTCTGGTTTGTCAGCCATGTCTAAAGAAAAAAGCATGGATGATCCACGATGGATCTATGCTGATATACAAGGGCAAAACCAGATCTTTCTCTTTGTAGCACAGAATGCTTGACTGCTGCTGGAGGTGTTGAGTTTTTTTCTCTCCTATTCTCTCAGATATTCTCAAATGCTTGATCTTTCTGCAGCTGTCAGTCACTGGGACTGGTCAATCACTAGGACTTTCTGGTCAGTCACTGGGACTTCCTACAGCTTCACTCTTCAGTGGATGAGAAGGATCCGGGGTTTGGATGTATACTGCAATGGAGTGTTATGTCCAGACATGACTTAGCAGAAGCTGGAAAAATAAGTTTGGTGTGCCTGTTAGGCAGGCTGACTTCTAAATTACGGAAGCACAAAGAGCTGATCAAGGCAGTATGCCAGCACACAAACAGGAAAGTGACAGCTGGTTACCATGACCCTGGAGCAGCTGGTACAGACAGTGTGCAAAGCTCAAAGTGCAGCATTAATGTGACTGGGGGACTGCCATCTTAGTTCAGGGTACAAGTACGTCAGTGTGGACATTACCACACTTATCTTAATAAAGATAAATGTAAGGTACTCCACCTGGGAAGGAGGAATCCCCAGCACACCTATAGGTTGGGGAGTGACCTTCTCAGCAGCTGGGAGGCAGAGAGGGATCTTGGAGTCATAATTGACTCCAAGATGAACATGAGCCGGCAGTGTAACGAGGCCAACAACAAGGCCAATTGCACCTTGTCATGCATTAGCAGGTGCACAACTAATAGATGAAAGGAGGTGATGTTCCCCCTCTACGCAGCACTAGTCAGGCCACAGTTGGAGTACTGTGTCCAGTTTTGGGCGCCGCACTTCAAGAGGTATGCGGGGACTCTCGAGAGGGTCCAGAGGAGGGCCACTCGCATGATTAGTGGCCTTCGTGATAGACCCTACAGGGGGAGGTTGAGAGAGCTGAATCTCTTCAGCCTTCACAAGAGACGGCTGAGGGGAGATCTTGTGGCCGCCTATAGATTTATTAGGGGAGGTCAATGGGGAATAGGGGAAGCGCTGTTTACTAAGGCGCCCCAGGGAGTGACTAGGAATAACGGGTGTAAACTAGTTGAGAGTGGATTTAGGTTAGATATTAGGAAGAAATTTTTCACAGTAAGGGTGGCCAGGATCTGGAATGGGCTTCCAAGAGAGGTGGTGCTATCTCCTAGCTTGGAGGTCTTCAAGAGGAGGCTAGATAGTCACCTGGCTGGGGTCATCTGACCTCGGTCCTCTTTCCTGCCAGGGACAGGGGGTCGGACACGATGATCCATTGTGGTCCCTTCCGACTCTACAATCTATGAATTAGCAAAAAAGAACTTTCTCTGTAAAATTATACCTGATCTTAACAAGAGTGAAATCTTTGGAGCATTTACATTGATGCAAGGGGTCATATCATGTGGATGCTGCTCTTTGCACATTTGATACAATTAGGTTTAACCCAGCATAAACCACCTGGGTTAAAGAGCAAAGAAGCTGAGTCAAGGAAGTACCAGATGCAGCCTAAATGAGAGCTGGAAACACGATTCTGAGTAAAATTGAGCCTCTTGGGCTGCAAAGAGCTTGAATCTATAAGCAAAGATGTTTCTCCCATGTTTGATTTCTCCCTTGTTAATGAAAATGGGACTAAAAATTTCCTACTCTACCAATTTCTCCTAATGCATGTGATCTGTAGGACCCCAGACTTTGGTGAACTACTTCGGTCAAAAAGGAGTAACAATCCTGAAGCTTATTTCAACACTGCTAGTTGTGCTATTGTCCCATCTAGTGCTGAGAAGTTTTGTTTCAACAAATCTTCATACAGTAATAGAATGCAGTCACAAGCTGAAGTGAAGGATTTGATTGGAGTAGCAAACCTACAAGTTAAGTGTAAGCAATACATGACTCTGAATAGATGAATGAGGTACATACTAAAGAGACGAAAAGAAGTCCAGAGACAGTGTGTGCATTTTTTCTATGCTCTATACCAGTGGTCCCCAATCTGTGGTATGGGTACCAGTAGTGGTACACGTTAACAGATTTATTATAATTACTTTATATGAAAAAATTTGCTGGTGGTACCCAAGGTTGTATCATTTTAAATTGGTGTGCAATCTGTCAGGGTTTGGGAACAGTTGCTCTATACAAAGCTGAGTATTATACAAAATATCTTCACTGTTCCCTCTGGCTGTGTGGCATCAAACCTACAATCCATCTATTGCAATTTCTTTGACTAAGGCAGTAGTCAATACCAGATGCTTCAGAGGAAGTCTCAGAAAACAGCAGTTGGCGTAGCTCACCCAAACAGTCTTCCTAATACCTATTATTTTCTCATGACTTTTTGCCTTTAATCACTTTTTTCCTAGCAAAACTGATGTCCATATTGGAAAAAAAAAAATCAGTTCCTATTCCAAAGTCTCACTAGGAGACGGGTCCCCATGCTGTTTGGAGGTAACAAATTACTTGTAAATGGGTTAAATCATCACTGGAGGCAATATTTTCTTTGATGAGCTTGTTGCCTCTGTTGTAATACCCCATATTATTCACTTTTACTTTTTTATCATTTCCTTCCTCAAGAGCCCTTTTTTTTCCTCTTTCACATAGAAATCCCTCTCTGTTGTCACTGTGTATGCTAATCTGGAGTGTAACTTCTCACTCCTGAGATAATGACTGAAACTTGAGTGCAGCATCAAGAGGACCCCTTTTGTGATATGTAGCAATATAAATTTAAGCATTTTTATCCTGTTCTCTTTATGTACTAACATTTTGTCTCCCTCTACCTCTTAAAAGTAAAAAGTAAGTTCCCCCATTATCCTGCCACATGCTCTGCAAGAAAAGACGAAATTACATGATGCAATTCCTACCCTATGTTAAACTATTCAGAATATCCTAGTTAAGGGACTGCTTCTCATCCCAGCTTGTTGCAGTAACCAGCTACCTTCTTGGATCCTCCAGTTCCAAAATGAAAATTGGGAGCAGATGCGTGCTGGATTAACACTAGTTCTCTGCCGGCAAGGTGCTGCAACCCTCCGAATTGTGTAGCAGCTGCTGGACCGGGGTCTCTTCTGTGACAGTTAGCAACTCCTCTGAATAGCCTGTTCTTCAGAATCAATCAGAAAATGTCCTGCTTAGGAAAAGCTACTCTGGAACGAGATAGGATTGTTCTGTTTATTAATGTTTACCCTAAAGTATTCCCTGAACTGCAGAAGCAAGTTTGACCCTCCACATTTTTAAAAAATGTGAACTCAGAAGTTTTCCACCCTCCCGTTTCATGCACCCCAAATCCTCTCCAGAAGGCTTCAGCCATGAAGGGGCCAATGGATTAGTGCCATTCCCTAGAATCCAAGGCTGAAAATACTTTCAGACAGGGCTACCTACATACTTCACAGGGGTCCATTGCAAAATGTATTTCACAGTGAAAAAATGTGAAGCAACATTTTGTAGGAAAGGTGAGAAATGGGGTCCTTTGAAATTAGCACTTAAACCTTGGACTTGAGAAGGTTGAGAAGTGTGGACGTGCACCTAGAGCCACTTCAGAAAGGCGGTTTCCTGCTCTCTCCCTCAACAAAGTTTGTGCAATCCGTATTGACTTATGCCTTGTTGGCTGACGGGAGCTGCGCTCGGCTGTAAACGCGCCGGTCCCCGCAGCGGCCCGTGGGGGAGCGGGCTCTGCCCGGCGCTTCAGCGGAGACAGCCCCGGCGCGTCTCCTCGGCGCGCCCCGGGTGGGAGCCGACACGGCGCTGGCCGCAGCAGGTCCCTGCCTTGGCGGACCACGAGGTTTAGCTCGTGCCGCGTTCCTTGACAGCGCCCGGGCTGGTCCTGCAAGAGCCCCCCGGCCAGGCGGGCCGTCGCGCCCCCTCCCCCGCAGCGCGGCCGGCGCCAGCAAGGGGCGA